CCCTCCCCGCCGTCTCCCCATCGTCTCCCCATCCCATCCACCCATCCCATCCACCCAGCACCCTCCTGCCCGGTTGGTTCGCAGGTCCCAGGAGTCGGGCTCCTCAGCGCACCTGGTGGTGAGCATCGCCGGAGGGGAGAAGGCGAGGAGAGGCCCAGGTGGGTGCTGGCGCGGGGCTGGAGGCCGGACAGGGGACAAGGGAACGAATGCAAAGCCGAGGCCCACATCCCAGGGCCCAACTTTTCCCTCTACTTTTATCCTTGTCTCCCATTCTCGGCTTCTGTTTTTCTTCGTGTAGGGGCCTTGGAAATGGGTTCACAGGGGAAATGATAGACTTTTGGGTGGGAGGGGTTCAGGCCCAGACTGTGCCCCTGTTCTACGTATTGATCAGTCTACGAAGAAAAAAAAAATTCTATCTCTTGTTTCCTAGGAATAATGGCGTCCAAAGAGCAACAAGTCATAAAAGATCTCGCAGTGCAGAATGAAGAAAAAGAAAACAAAAAAGGGAAGGCCTCCAAGCAAAGTGAAGAAGAATCCCACCAGCTGGAAGAAGTTGAAAACAAGAAGCCTGGGGAAAATGTCCGAAGGGGACTAGTTAGGCGACTTGTGCCTAATTTTCGTTGGGCCTTACCAAACAGACATGTTGATCACAATGAAGGAGGAGAGGATGTTGGGAAGTTTGTAGGGCAAGTGATGGAGGTCAAGAGAAAGACTAGGGAGCAACAGATGAGGCCTTATGGGCGTTTCCAGACACCAGAACCTGACAATCACTATGACTTTTGTCTCATACCTTAACAATTGAAGGTTTTCTCTGAGCTCATAAAGTGGCTACTCTTTTACAAGCTTGTATTTAGTGAAGTACTTTTTCTGTAAACTTGGTGTTTCCACTTAACACTTTCTACTTAAAGATTGTTTTACTGTTGCATTTGATTCTAAACATTCCTATCAGCATGGCAATTCAATCCATTTTAGAAAGAAATCTTTTTCCATGATCTGAAATTAATAAAGCAATTTAAAAGGCAGTATATAATCAGTCATTTTCTTTTACTCCGGCCCTTACATTTCCTTCATAGTGTCTTAACTCTCCCAGCTACTTGGACTCAAATCTATACTCACTTATAATTCTTTTTTTCATGTTTCCAATTAATCAGCAAGGAACAGCCATACCTTTGATTCATGATCCAATATTCTAATAATGTAGGTCTAGTGTTTTTCAAAGAGTGTTTTCTTTATGAAAACTCCTTGGGAAGGTGTTTTTATATAAGACCTCTGGCCCTTCTCCACACTCATAATGTAGACTTCCAAAACCTTCATTTTAACAAGATCCCTTGGTAATTTTGAGGTACTCCAAAGTGCTATTGGTGTATATGTGTGTATGCATAAGTATGTATGTATCATAGATTAAGCACAGACAAAAGCAGGATGAATAATTTTAGTAAGAACTTTTAAAAAGTACAAGGCCTTACATTAATTACAAATTATGACAAACTGGAGGGTAGTCACTGTGTGAGCCTAAGTATGGCTGAGGGAAATGTCCATCTTGAATGACCTTTGGTTCTTCACCCTTATCAGTCCTTTTAACATCTAAGGTCTCACTTGTTATCTTTACTACATCCCATACAGTCTGACACTTCCTCTTTATACATGAAAGCCCTGGAGTTGAGAGACGCTAACTCCTGGGCTACCCTCATGCTGTATATCCTACTGGGTGGATTTAGGCTGGGACATTTTGTATGGCACCCTCTCTTTGAGATGCAGAATATTTAATTTGTAATTGACACAAGCTGAGGAAATCAAAGAATCAAAAATGAAACTACATTTCTCTATATCTCCAACAGACACTTTAATAGAACACTGGGAAATAAAATATAATACAATAATAATGAAAAAGGCTATCAATTTGGAAAGGAGGGGCATGGGTGCAAGGGTTAGAAGACAGGAAGGAGGGAGTAAACATAAGATTTTAAAGTTTTTAATAAAATCTTAAAAGATTCTTCAGCCCAGTATTATTCAAAGTAAGAATTACCGCCCATTATGATTCATGAAAAAAAGTTTATGCATCATAAAAAGCAGTTAAAATCAGAGTCTGGGTATTTGAGGTTTTATCTAGTGGTCAAACTCTCCTGCCTGGTATGTGCAAAGCCCTGGGGTTAACTTCAAACATCACAAAATGAAGTTGGACTCCCATTAGTGTAAATAATTGTTTGGACAAACACTTTTATCTGCAGAAAAAAAGCACTTCTTACAATGTGTTTCTTTTTAAATTAAAAAAAGTTTGTGTGTGAGCTTTTTGCCTGCATATATGTATGTGCACTGGGTATGTGCCTGTGCTTGTGAAAGTTAAAAAAAAAGGTATTGGATGGAGTTCAGATGGTTGTGAGCCACATGTAGGTGCTGGAAATTGAACCCAGGTCTTCTGCAAAAGCTGTAAGTGCTCTTAACTACTGACCCATTTCCCCAGCCCTTTCAAATGTATTTCTAAGGGCTGGCAATACAGCTCAGTGGTATAGCATTTTCTAGCATGTATGAGTCCTTGACTTCACTCCCCAGCACATCAAAGAATTCTAACTAGGGTACAAAAAAGCTTATTTTTATTAGTGTATATTTATTTTACAAATAATGGGTTTCATACATGTACATCACACATGCTTATTTCTCATCCCTTCCCACTTCATGCTATTCGTTTCTTCCCCTCCCCATAACCTTCTACTTTCTTTTTTGCTTCTTTTTCATTGAGAGAGAGAGAGAGAGAGAGAGAGAGAGAGAGAGAGAGAGAGAGAGAGAGAGAGAGAGAGAGAAAAGAAAGAGACACACAGAAAAACAGAACCTAGGGTCTTAGGCATGCTGCACAAATGCTTTACTGCGGAGCTAGATTTCCAGACCTCATTCTATTTTTAATTTTGAGACAGGTTATCACTAAGCTGCTCATGGTGGCATTGAATTCACTCTGTAGCCCAAATAAGGCTCGAATGCAGGCTCCTCCTATGGAAGTACCGGGTGTTAAAGAACTGTGCCGCCAAGCCCAGCAACTTTTTTTTTTTTTAGCTCTTTATATGTTCTAGCCATTAATGTCCTGTTAAATGAATAGCTGACAAATACTTCCTCCTTGCTTTTCCCTGGACTCTGTTGTTTCTTTTACGACACAGAAACTAATTTAAAGCAGTCCCGTTTGTATTACTTCTGGGCTTTTGATGTCCTATTCAGAAAACCTTTGCCTGGGATCTTCAAGTGGTTTCTCTGTGCTTCAGGTCTTCCAGGGATGTTATCAGTTCAAACTTTGATTTCACAGAAAAGAAACTGGACAGGAAAACGATTTACCTACAACCGTACAGCCGGTTTGTGGAAGACCTGTGTCCACAGCCTTCATCATACCAATTCCTGATTAAGGGGGCTTGTCGTCTCACTCCAGTGACTACACAGAGCATTGTTTGAAAAAAATTTTACAGCATATACAGATTGCCAATAGGTGTGAATGAATGATCATGCACACTTGTATACAATCATTGTTTGTTGCTCATACAATTCAGTCATCAAAGTTGCTACTTTCTGAATCAAAACATGGTAAAGGCCAACCCCCTGCCTATATCATTTTAGAGCTGTAATCTGCCTAGAGGAAGGAGATGATAGTCTGGTCAGAAAACACACAGTGATAAACTATGGGCAATTAACAAAGGTTTGCAGATTGAAGTTCATGAATATCCCTTTAGTACTTTTGAAAACTAGTACTTGAGCCTGTCTCACCAATCAGCAATCCTTTATCACCCCCACTTAACCTGTTCTTTTTTTAAAGCTAAGAATGTGGGAGGACTCAGAACATGATTCCATCCAGGGAAGGAAAACAGAAGCCCCTTCATCGGGGTTGTGGAAAGGGCAAGGGATGAGTGCAGAGATTCTGGAAGGAAAAAAAAATCAATGTTTGGATTCAAAATATGCTTTGTTCAATACTTCAAAGATCCTTGTCCCTTTAATGCAATAAGGACATAATGTTCTTGAAGCAGTAAAGGTCAGGGAATAGGTCCACTGTGCTCTTGGCTTTGAACTAGATGAAAGCCCCCTCTTGGGCTGGAGGAGTAGAGTGCTTAGTTTCACACTTGGAAGACCCTTTAGTCACCTCACAATACTACACACACACACACACACACACACACACACACACACACACACACACACAAAAATAATAATAATAATAATAATAATAATAATAATAATAATAATAATAATAACCCATCTCCTGGTACTTTGTTTAGTGTTAAAAACAAAAAATATCTAAAAATAAAGTTCAAGGTCCATGATATCATTGTTTAAACTTAAAGGAAGCTTCATTTCTCAGGGTTTCTGTGAAGGTGGAGGACAAGGATTTTCTGGGTGAAAAAAGTTAAGAAAAGCCAGATTAGAATGCTACTGAAAGAAAGCTGGATTATTCCAGTGAGTAGTTCAATTAATTTATACATCTTATTTGAAGGTCAGAATTCTTTGATATTGCTTGGTGATATAGTCTGTCTTTTTAAAGTGACAAATAGATATCAGCAACTGTCTCTAATAACAGTCTTTGAAAATAACACAAGTATTTTATGAAACCAATAAAAATGCAACAAAATATCATCAGACTCATCCCTATCAGTCTTTTATGTGTTCATTTTGTAGATTTGGGTTTCCTAAGGAAATGTGCATGCTTTTATATTGTGGATCAAGACTTGATAAAAGCCCAATAATTAATGAGAGAAAGTGTGAGGAAATTTTCCAAAACAGGAGAGACAAGCCTACATAACAAAGCAGTTGTATTAGTATGTGTCTTGTTGCCATAACAAAATGCCTGATAAAACCAGCAGAAAGAAGGGAGATAGGAACAAAGGATTTACTTAGGCTAATACTTCAAGGCTATGAATCCATCATGGTAGGAAGTTATGGTGGCAGAACCTCGAGGCAGTTAGTGATTTCTGTCTGTCATCAGGAAGAAATAGGGAGAGACAAACGCTGATACTCAGCTTACTTTCAATTATCTGAAGTTTGGCATTCTGAATGGTTCTCAAAATAAATGTGGATGAGAGTGTGGGGATAGGGTAACCATCATACTTTCTTTGCTTGTGAGAATGTCTAATCATGGGGTTGCTGTAGAAAACAGTTTGAATGCCCTCCCAAAATTTATACACATAGTAGTGTTAGCTGAGCAGTGGTGGCACACGCCCTTTAATCCCAGCACTTGGGAGGCAGAGGCAGGCGGATCTCTATGAGTTCGAGGCCAGCCTGGTCTCCAAAGCGAGTTCCAGGAAAGGCACAAAGCTACACAGAGAAACCCTGTCTCAAAAAAACAAAAAAAAAAAACAAATTATACACAGAACTACCCTATAAATTTAAGATACCAAGAGAATTAAAAACACATGTTCAAAGTTTCTACACTAATGTTCATCATATTATTATTTCTTATAATAGCCAAAAAGTGCTAATTACCTAAACACCATTTAACCAAAAAATTAGTAAATAAAACATGTCATAGCCATACAATCCATTACTCAGCAAGAAGACAAATAGAGCAATAATAAATATTCTAGCACGGATAAACTTTGTCAATATTATGTTAAGGGAGAAAGCCAGACAAAAAAAAAGGCTACACAATTGCATCTAGAATTCTGTGTATCTAGAATGCCTAGTACAGACAGGACTGTTATGACAGAAAAATGGGAGTGGGAGACAGTGGCTGAGCAGAACAGGTATGAAGAGTAACTACTAATGAGTATGACGTTTCCTCTTGGGGTAATAAAAATATTCTGAAACTAGGTAGTTGAGTGGTATAAATATTCTAAAACTAACAAGTATGCACCTTCAGGGGGTGATCTTTATTGTACATAAATTATCTCCTTATAACTATGAATAAAAATAACATACCAAAGGGGCAGCATTTGATAGCCAGAAGAACAATTTAGTATAAATAAAACAGTTCTTCAGCCTGGTGGTGGTGGCGCACACCTTTAATCCCAGCACTCAGGAGGCAGAGGCAGGTGGATCTCTGTGAGTTTGAGGCCAG